AGTGTAGCAGTAGTGGTGGTGACGGTAGTAGAAGTGTAGCAGTAGTGGTAGTGACGGTAGTAGAAGTGTAGCAGTAGTGGTGGTGACGTTAGTAGAAGTGTGGCAGTAGTGGTGGTGACGGTAGTAGAAGTGTAGCAGTAGTGGTAGTGACGGTAGTAGAAGTGTGGCAGTAGTGGTGGTGACGTTAGTAGAAGTGTAGCAGTAGTGGTAGTGACGGTAGTAGAAGTGTGGCAGTAGTGGTGGTGACGTTAGTAGAAGTGTAGCAGTAGTGGTGATGACGGTAGTAGAAGTGTAGCAGTAGTGGTAGTGACGGTAGTAGAAGTGTAGCGGTAGTGGTAGTGACGGTGGTAGAAGTGTGGCAGTAGTGGTGGTGACGTTAGTAGAAGTGTGGCAGTAGTGGTAGTGACGGTAGTAGAAGTGTAGCAGTAGTGGTAGTGACGTTAGTAGAAGTGTAGCAGTAATGGTGGTGACGTTAGTAGAAGTGTAGCAGTAGTGGTAGTGACGGTAGTAGAAGTGTAGCAGTAGTGGTGGTGACGTTAGTAGAAGTGTAGCAGTAGTGGTAGTGACGGTAGTAGAAGTGTAGCAGTAGTGGTAGTGACGTTAGTAGAAGTGTAGCAGTAGTGGTGGTGACGGTAGTAGAAGTGTAGCAGTAGTGGTGGTGACGTTAGTAGAAGTGTAGCAGTAGTGGTGGTGACGTTAGTAGAAGTGTAGCAGTAGTGGTGGTGACGTTAGTAGAAGTGTAGCAGTAGTGGTGGTGACGGTAGTAGAAGTGTAGCAGTAGTGGTGGTGACGTTAGTAGAAGTGTAGCAGTAGTGGTGGTGACGGTAGTAGAAGTGTAGCAGTAGTGGTGGTGACGGTAGTACAAGTGTAGCAGTAGTGGTGGTGACGTTAGTAGAAGTGTAGCAGTAGTGGTGGTGACGGTAGTAGAAGTGTAGCAGTAGTGGTGGTGACGGTAGTAGAAGTGTAGCAGTAGTGGTGGTGACGTTAGTAGAAGTGTAGCAGTAGTGGTGGTGACGTTAGTAGAAGTGTAGCAGTAGTGGTAGTGACGGTAGTAGAAGTGTAGCAGTAGTGGTAGTGACGGTAGTAGAAGTGTAGCAGTAGTGGTGGTGACGGTAGTAGAAGTGTAGCAGTAGTGGTGGTGACGGTAGCAGAAGTGTAGCAGTAGTGGTGGTGACGGTAGTAGAAGTGTAGCAGTAGTGGCATCAGCAGAAGTGGCAGTAATGTTAGCAGTAGCAAACAGCAGTGTTATCTGATAAGAGCGGAAATCTTCTTCTTCTTCGCGTTCACTAGCTGTAAACTCCAGCGGAAGGTTCTGGTTGTTCGTCCACAAATGGACTGCAGTTTTGTTCCAGAACCTGGGTGTTGCGTGTATATCCGTTTCACAGACTGACTCATTTGTATGCAGACTGCTGGTTTCTTGACTCTCAGGCAGATGCACTCCGACTTCGAAGGAAGCTCCCAATTATTCCACTCTTAGGACATGCTTTTGGGTAGGCAGTGGATCTATTCTTGTTTTCCTTAATAAAAGGGCCTCGGAACCCACACACGGGGAAGAACGGAAATGTAGGGAGGATATCAAGATCTGGGGAATTAGAAGGCCACTGTGAAAATGAGGAAAACATAAGAAATGGGCAGAGGAGGATGAAAGTGAGGAAGACTAAGAGAAGGAAAGACGATAAGAAAAAGAGATTAGTGTATAAGAAGGCAGAAGAAATGAAGAAGAAGTGTGTATTGCAATCAGAGCTAGGTAGAAACTGAATGTAGTATCATTATTCTGGAAACAGTTGTTCCCAACGGTAAAACCATCACTTGCCCATGTCTTGTGAGACACCCAAAGACCGAAGGAGGATCAGCCCATGTAAACTAATGGACACATAACGTGAACTAACAAATAACCCATGTGAACTAACAAACAACCCATGTGAACTAATAAACAACCCATGTGACCTAACAAACAACCTATGTGAACTAACAAACAACCCATGTGAACTAACAAATAACCCATGTAAACTAACAAACAACCAATCTGAACTAACAAATAACCCACGTGAACTAACATACATCCCCCAGTCTAGACTGTCTCCCTCTCGTCTAGATTACCAGAGTCCAGCATCCCTCCATTCACAGCCCGTTTGATGTTATTTCTCTCGGTCTAGATGTTTTGAACTGTCCATCGATTTTATCATTTGCTGATTGTGTGTACATGTATAAGCGTGTGAGCGATTCTCTTTGCTTGTGTGTTTTCCTGATTTATTGACAATGATAAATGAAGTGGGAATTGAAAGTTTAGAAATATCACAGCTGTCTCAATTTGTAGAGGAAAAAATATGTTACTAGCGAATTTCCATCACAATGGTTTACTTAATATTAACTCTCGACTGTCATGATGATAGACCCCTGTTGTATTTAATATTATCTGTTCACTGTCATGCTGGTAGACCCTTGATGTACTTAATATTATCTGTTTATGTCATGCTAGAAGACCCCTGATGTATTTAATATTATCTGTTCCATGTCATGATGGTAGACCCTTGATGTATTTAATATTATCTGTTTATGTCATGCTGGTAGACCCCTGATGTATTTAATATTATCTGTTCCATGTCATGCTGGTAGACCCCTGATGCGTTTAATATTATCTTTTCCCTGTCATGCTGGTAGACCCCTGATGTATTTAATATTATCTGTCCACTGTCATGCTGGTAGACCACTGGTGTATTTAATATTTTCTGTCCACTGTCGTGCTGGCAGACCACTGGTGTATTTAATATTTTCTGTCCACTGTCGTGCTGGCAGACACCTGATGTATTTAATATTATCTCTCCACTGTCATACTGGTAGACCCCTGATGTACTTAATATTATCTGTTTATGTCATGCTGGTAGACCCCTGATGTATTTAATATTATCTGTTCCATGTCATGCTGGTAGACCCCTGATGTATTTAATATTATCTGTTCGATGTCATGCTGGTAGACCCCTGATGTATTTAATATTATCTGTTCCATGTCATGCTGGTAGACCCCTGATGTATTTAATATTATCTTTTCCCTGTCATGCTAGCAGACCCCTGATGTATTTAATATTATCTGTTATGTCATGCTGGTAGACCCCTAATGTTTTTAATATTATCTGTCTACTATCATGCTGGTAGACCCCTGATGTATTTAATATTATCTGTCTACTATCATGCTGGTAGACCCCTAAGGTATTTAATATTATCTGTTCGCTGTCATGCTGGTAGACCCCTGGTGTATTTAATATTATGTGTCCACTGTCATGCTGGTAGACCTCTGAATTTTATTTTTGGAAGCATGCCCTCTATTACTGTTTTCCCCTCCCATCGAACCATAATTATTAGTCTTAACAGTGTTTCCTCTTCAGCATAGGGCTGCGCATAGGGCAGAGGTCATCACTCTCTATGTGTGACTGTTCGCTGACACACGATTTTTTTATATCTTGGATGTTCTTAACGCCCATAGTTGAGCCTTTCCAGATGATGGTTCTACACAGGGTCTCTCTTGGTCTTCACCGTTTACTTTTTCCTTTAGGTGTCTCTATGAGGGTTTGATGGTTGTGTCTGGTCTTATCCATTCTGAGAGAATGTCTGATGTAGTTCCAAAGGTGCTTTCTTATAAAATTTGATACATTATCTATCTTGGTTTCTTGTCTCATTTGGGCATTGGATCTCAAATCTGTCCGATAAAGATTTAGTATTTTTTTAAAGACATCTGTTCTCAAAATTGTCTGATTTTTCTTTTAACATTTTTTGTCTTGGGCTATCGCTGCTTTCCATCTAACGCATCCATAAGTTAGCACTGGAATCACACAAGCCCATTGTGGGGTTTAGTATTTCAGTTTTCCAGAAACGATACTGTTTATGAGCGAGTCTGCATCAATGTCCAGATGCTAAAAACTGTAAGTATTTTTTTTTTAACACTCTTTCTTATTTTGTGAAATTCTAGGACTCTTCTTGTGATATTCAAGTTTAAAAACGAGTCTCTTATGATGCATACTGTGGTGGTTTTCGCTTGCTTTCCACATGTCCCTACAACTACATCCCCATTTTTGAGCAAGTTTCTAGGTTAATATGTTAAGTGAGTGCTCAAATCGTGATGCCGCTGCTGACCGTGCTAATCACAGAGGTAACCACTTCTTCTCCCCCATCGTTCAAGCTTAATAATGGTAGTTGGTACGTTGTGTTGTAGTTTATAGCTAGGCTGCGATATCTGTACTTTTCGGCTTAACACAACCAGTCTCAGAAAATCCCTAACTAGTCGCCTTTTGCGACATCCTTGTTAGGGGACATTGGGTCTGTTTTCCCCACCCCTAAAAATCTGGCGAACCTTATGCGCCTTATAAAAGGCACAGCAGCATGATGCTGCTCATGATGATGATGATGATGGTAATAATGATGATGATGGTGATAATGATGATAATGGCAAGAACCAGCAGGTTTGTCTGAACGAGACAAGAAAACATGCTCAACAACGGGTAGACAAATAGGTAAGTAAACAGAGAAACAATCAGAAAAAAAACCATCACACTTATGTAGGAGATGAATTACTGTGCGACAGTTGTAAGCTAAGTGTGTAATAGGGCTCAAACAGCTTTGTGGCATATTTACGTGTTTTGTAGATAGATTTACATGAGTTTTATCTACTTACGTTTTCTTAAATATCATTGAAACCGTGTTTTCTGTGTTATGCTCAGCTAGGAGTGTGTGCTTTTCATTCTCTCGTTCCTTCTTATTTACCTGAGAAAATATTTAGCTCGAGGGAAGCGTTGTAATGGGGGTTCGAAGAACTAGTTAGGAGGTAATGAGGTCTGGCTGGAATGTTCAAATCAAAGAATCTTTATAGACATGAGTTTTGGCTTGGAAGCTAAGGTCCTCTTTGAAAACATGTCCGTCTCTACGCCACGGCGGTGCCCGTCGACTGGTTTATAACAGTATCAGATTAGCATCATGTGTCAGATTAGCCTCTGGCAGGAAGAGGGTAGTTAATTATACTTGGTGTATGGCCAGCTGTTCGGTGTGCTGATCGGAGAGTTGATCAGCGAGATGATCGGCGGGCTCATCGGTGGGCTGATCGGCGGTCTGATCAGGGGGATGATCGGTGGTCTGATCAGGGGGATGATCGGCGGTCTGATCAGGGGGATGATCGGTGGGCTGATAGGAATACTGATCGGTGTGCTGATAGGTGGGTTAATCGGTGGGCTGATAGGTGGGTTATCGGTGGGCTGATAGGTGGGTTATCGGTGGTTGATAGGGATGCTGATAGGGGTGCTGATTGGGGTGCTGATAGGGGTGCTGATTGGGGTGCTGATAGGGGTGCTGATTGGGGTGCTGATCGGCGTTATAGTGCTGATATGTGGGCTGATATGTGGGCGGTTCGGTGGGCTGATAGGGGTGCTGATCGGTGGGCTGATAGGGGTGCCGATATGTGGTCTGATAGGGGTGCTGATTGGTGGGCTGATAGGGGTGCTGATCAGTGGGCTGATAGGGGTGCTGATCAGTGGGCTGATAGGGGTGCTGATCGGTGGGCTGATAGGGGTGCTGTTCGGTGGTCTGATAGGGGTGCTGTTCGGTGGTCTGATAGGGGTGCTGATCGGTGGGCTGGTAGGGGTGCTGATCGGTGGTCTGATAGGGGTGCTTATCGGTGGGCTGATAGGGGTGCTGATCGGTGGGCTTATAGTGGTGCTGATTTATGGTCTGATATGTGTGTTGTAGAGGTTAACGAATGGTTTTCCAGTTTTAGATCCTCGACGTAACAAGGTTGTTTTTTGTACTTCTTCTTCTTCTTCTTCTTCTTCTTCTTCTTCTTCTTCTTCTTCTTCTTCTTCTTCTTCTTCTTCTTCTTCTTCTTCTTCTTCTTCTTCTTCTTCTTCTTCTAATTTTACTAATGTCAGCAGTTAATGTACTACGGTCAACCTTAACAGTAGAAATTGTATTTAATTTATTTATGTTTCTTTCTTACACGCCTAACCATTTCTCTCACCTGGATCGCAATGACCTAACGAGCATGCTTCCTTCATTCATTTCCCCTTTCCAACACTCTAATTCCACGACTGCTACCTGTGAAACATAAAAGCCAGAATCCCCTGCACTCACAAAATGAACTCTTAGAGTCAACAAGGTGAAAAACATCTTTTCTGTAAATAACCCGTTGTTTTTACTGTGTGTATTTACATTTGTTTACTAAATGAGTGACAGTTTGAACGAAATGATTTCTTGAGTCTCTTTCTTTCTATGTGTAAAATATTCAAGTTTTCATAAAAACAGCAGGTGTTAATGCAGCACCGGATATATACATTTGAGACTTTTATATCCTGCACGAATTTTCTGTGTGAGCGAGTGCTCATTTTTTTTCTTTTGTTAGTTGCTACATAATTATTTCTTGTGTGTTCTCTGTGCTTCTCCTACAGATATTAACTTTTCATAATTTAAGTTTCATCAGTTAACTGTATCACAAACCCCCAAAACGGCTGAAGATAGAATGTTTACACATGTTAAAATTATATATGTCTGATATGTATCTGAGATGTACAAAATCTATTTGAAGGTGTTGAAAATAAAGCATACTTGTTTTTTATATAGACCGGCACGCGTGTTTTATATATATATATATATATATATATATATATATATATATATATATATATATATATATATATATATATATATATATATATATATAATTTTCCTTACCTGTCCTTCTTCGGCGTGTTTAAAGTATTGGTGTGTGCATTTATGCAATTTTTGCGGTGCAGCACTCATATTTTTTTGACCGCTCATACTGTTAGATTTTGTTTTTTATGGTCACCAGTGTTAGGGTTGATAAGTTACAAAAATAACACTAAGGGACAGAACGACTTAAATAAATTGGGCTAAGCGCTTTCAGGTTAACAGTTGGATGTGTTGTACTAAAATTCAAGAAAACGTATTATCTTCTTCTTTTCCGTTTGTCCTAATGCCTATGCTACAAAACGTCGCAGAGTTATAGGTAAATTTTAATCTTTTACGAGTTGCAAAGTTTGTTTTATTGTCATACATTTCTTAGTTTCTCTTTTACTCCATCCACTTTTTTCTCTCTCTTGCCTTATAGTCTTCTGGTATGCAGTATTCCTTACGTCCTTTTTAGGTCGTAATTTATTTTCATTTGAAGCCCCACTCTGGCTTTTGCCAGAGGCCGCAATATAGGCAGGCCATAAATATGGCCAATTGTCTGAACGCGGTTTCTGGGACCTCTCCACGGTGATCCTCATCCACATGGTGGCACTTTGTGTCATCGGGTGTTTATCGCTTGTGTGATGTCCTAGTGGGGTAGAAAGTCAAGTCTAGTCTTCTGGTCTCATATAGTAAGCTCTAGCTAGTGGTTGATTTGTTTCGTTCTAAAATGATGTCAAGACCATGAATGTTTTATGAAATCATTTACAGATACTGTGCCTGCTGTTTTTCTTAGTTCTTTATTCTATATCACATCAGTTAAAATTAAACGCATGGTGAGTTGCTCGGTTGTGAAAGAATCACATCTGGGACGAACCAAGTATACTGTTTAAAAAACAAAAAGGGGTGAAAGGGAAGGGGGACATATTCTAAATGTTATGGCTTGCTGAACAGTTAGAATGCAGGGGTCTTAAGCGGGAGACTCGTGTTCGAATCTTCGGTAAGGTTGTGTTTTGATTTATCTCTCTGTCGGGGGCAACAAAAAAAAAATCCTCACATGCACAGTCCTTGCCGACAGCACTCGCCATGCAGCCTTAAATCCTTTGGCTCAAAGACCTCCCCCCCCCCTTTCCCCCCCAACCTTTTCCCACCTGCCCAAATTGCAAAAATGGTATGAATAAAGGCAGTAATTGGCAGTTGTTGGTTTTTTTTTTTTGGGGGGGGGGGGGGTGGGGGCAGATATGTGTTATGTATGTATTAGCACATACAGGGTCAGCTAGTTGGTTGCCGGTACTAAGAGTGGTACTGTTGAAGAAGTATTTATTGCATATAAACGTGTGGTCTCTTTAAATGTTCAGATATGTTTAAGGTTTCATATGACCGTCTCTAACGGTGAGGAGTGTGTGTGTCTGTGTGTGTATGTGTGTGTGTGTGTGTCGTTCAACCCCACCAAGACCGTACAACGAGCAACCAACATCTGATGACACAAAGTGCACCCTTCGGATGAGGATCACCTGGGCATAAGTCCTGGAAACCCCGTTCAGCTGTAAAGTTTTATTAGGAACTCGATTACAGCCGGGGTCGGACTTTGAAAATAACGAAAACTTGAGTTGCACACTGGGGCGGGATTGTCGCACACTGGGGTGGGATTGTCGCACACTGGGGCGGGATTGACGCACACTGGGACGGGATTGACAAGGCTGTGAGGGGTAGAAGGCCGCTGGAAAGATATAAAACATCAAGCACTTGAAAGAGAGGGCCGCTCCAGCAGCTACAGCTCTAGGCACGATTCGCGTGACGTGGCAGAAGATTGAATTCCGTCTTCACGTCATTAGAGTTACAAATGGCGCCCACAGTGAAGTTTACTAAAGCAAGTCTAAACTTCAAGCGTATCTAAACATTTGAAGACGTCAAACGTACAAATCTAATAAATACTTTTTATATTATAACATTTTAAAATCCATGTAATCATTCTCAAAGACCCTATATGTATGTATGCATGTATGTATACAATCGGCGTTTCTGAACATTGTGCATTCCCATGCGTGCTCAGTCCTCCGATGCAGCAGCCACTTCAAGGTACCTCTACTGGTTGTTTCCATGAGCAATTGGTTATAGTATCTCTCCTGTCTTTACCTTTAAGACGGCATAGACGTGCTTCACCAAGCGTAACTTCTCAGTCACGCAGTGGTGTAAGTGTCGGTGATTCGCCATTTCCCCCAACCTAGTCTGTACATCGTTGATGATACCAGCTCTGTCCGTGATTCTTTCTGTTTGCATTGATGCATTACATGTTAGCGGGTCAGCTCTTTCGTGACCATTTACTCCTTCGTGCCTAGGTGTGTAGATCCAGATGATGGCGGTTAACTGCGACTGCCGAATGGTTTCTACCCATTTTCAGCGTAGACTTCCTGTAGCGATTCTCTACAGCATGTTCATAGAGTCTAAAACGATGATCGCATGTGTGGCTGCCTGTTTTGCTACCCATGCGAATGATATGAAAGCAGCTTTTATCTACATGATCATGCTTGGCATAGTTGTCTGGTAAGCACTGCTATCCGCCTTTATTGTTTCCCCATCCAATGTTTAGTGATTGCCCATGCTGATTTTGACCCGCGCTTCACGGACCCATCTAAGTAAATGAGACGTTTTCTGGGCGTAAATGAAGATCAACCAGTGACGGGTACCTGTCCCCTGAAGGACCTCCTCAGTGTTACGACAACATTAGACAAATCATGCATGTCTACTGGTGTATTCGACCATTCTTTTCCGTGACTGATCTCGTCGTCTAGGTCGCTTACTTGCAGGATTGTATATATATATATATATATATATATATATATATATATATATATATATATATATATATATATATATATATATATATAAATATATATATATATATATATATATATATATATATATATATATATATATATAAAACCAATTGTTAGCCTGAAGCGCTTAGTCTAATTTTTTTTTATTCGTTCTGTCCCTTGGTGTGTGTGTGTGTGTGTGTGTGTGTGTGTGTTTTTTTTTTGTAACTCATCAACCCTAACACAGGTGACCGTAAATAAAAAAGCAAGTTCTGACAGTAGGACCACTCTAAATAATATGAGTGCGGCGGCGCAAGAACGAAATAAATGCACACACCGATACTTTAAACGCGTTGAAAAAGGACAGGTAAGGAAATTTTATATATATATATATATATATATATATATATATATATATATATATATATATATATATATATATATATATGTGTGTGTGTGTGTGTGTGTGATTTCCATAAATGGATGCTGGTTTTAATCTCTTCCATGGTGGGATTCTCATAACACTGTGTAAGCAACTGGGTCGGTATTGCAAGAAAATATCTGCCCCAGAAAAAAAAGACTGGAATTGAAATGCGATCACTAAAGTATAAGCTACAGTATCACATAGTTACTAGCCTAGACAGACGGGATTGTAGTTCACAGAGCTATTCCTTTGGGAAGTCGAACAGCAGGGGAAACTACTGACTCGTTTGCCTATCAATTTTTGTGTGTGTCTGTCTATTTTGTCATTATGTTTG